CGACGGATGCAGCTGGAATTAAATTTAAAAAACGTTAAAGAATATCTCTGTAAAGTTACAGACGTGTCACGCGTCAATGTATACCCATTTTAATTGAGCACACTGTTTTTTTACTTTAAAAATTACATTACACGGCATAAAAAAATGGTGCAACATTCGAATGTCCACCATGCTACTATTATTAAAAATTATTTTTATTATTATTTCAAAGATGACAATTCTCAAAGAAAAACAAAACAAAACTGGATTATAAAATAAAATATATATATATATATATAACTATTTTTTATTATTTCAAGGATGACAGAGAATCCTCAAAGAAAAACTAATATATAGACATAATAAGCAGGTAAAGAAGCAATATATTTATTTATACTGTATATATATACAACTATTATTAAAAAATATAAGGAAAAATATCTCAATTCTATTTTTTTTTTTTTATTTCAAAGATAACAGAGAATCCTCAAAGAAAATCAAAATTAGATAGATAATAAGGTGTATTACAACTAATATAAATAATAGGTATACTTCATTGCATATTTAATAACATTAAAGGTTGATCATGATGTAAAATTCAATTTATATGTGGAAGGGATATATAGGCATATGAATAATTGATATCATTCAAAATGATGTGAATGTGTTAATATTAGATGGGAAATCTACATTTTTTTGGTAGGAAAAAAACACATGTATTCATAATTGTAGCATTTATAATTTTTGAAGTGCATTCTTCTTCATATTTGGTTAATTACCCACCCAATGCAAAGAGGAAAAATGATTGGGATTGCAAAGGAAACTATTTATTATGATTTTATGCATACATTTTATATTCATATTCAATTAACTACATTGGATGTTGACCATCCTAAAACAATTTTAATATTTGACAATTTGAAAAATAAAATTTTTTATTAATAGTAATTGTTTAAAGTTGTATATATATATAAATTATAAATTATGTGTTTTTGTAAAAGATCTTCAAGCCAATAAAATTTGATTTTTGTGTGATTTTTTGGAGGGTGATCATTGTAAAATTTAGCCAATGAAATCCAAGTCATGATGTGATAAACGAATGTCCATTATGCTGCCTTATGTACATGAGGAATGTGTGTGAATGACTGTAAAGTGTTCAAGGTAGCGTGCGTGCTTCAACACTTGTAAAATTTCCGTTGCATATTTGAATTGTTTCTTTTTCAACAGTCAATGCTGCCTTGACATCTTGTAATTATAATAATATAATAATAATAATATAATTACGATTACGCAAAGCAAAATATTATCAATGAAAATCTTGTAATTACCCAGCAAGATCTGCTCTGTGTTTTGATTTCCAATTAAAATATTTATAAGCTAAAATAAAAATATCAATCAATACAAATAAAAAAAAGTACCTCTGGTTAGTTATTAACACGTATTCTTTAGGAGACCCAAACCAAACAACAACACTCACGTTTTGTCACCTTGGGCTCTGTCAAAAAATAAATAAATTGTTTTTCCAAAAAAAAAAAAAAAAATCAATCAATTCGTGTCTGTCCTACCAAAAAAAAAACCAATAGGATAAATAATTAGCATGTACGAGTCGATCAAATAACAAACTTCTTTTAATTCTTTTCTTAAAATATGCCGCCAAAAAGGAAATTCCATCAAAGAAACAAAGAAAATGAAGAAGAATTTGAAAGAGGGTAAGTGTTTTAAGGATGGTAGTGGTGGTTATCGCCTGCCACTCGTCATTACTCTAGTTAATCTTACAAATCTTTTTTAAGAAATAGTGAAATTGGTAAAGAATTAAACAAGACAAGGGTGGATTATGAGAAGGCGTTGAAGAAGTTGGAGCAGTTCGAGGAGGGGTGGAAAGAGAAGAAGATATGGGAATTGGAGGGTAAGTTGGATGACAGAATTTGGAGGAATGAAGATCAAAAGAATAGTTGGGAAAGGCAAAGGGACGAATTGAAAAAGGAAAAACAAGAGTTGAAAGAGAATAAAAATGACTGGAAGGAACAGATGAAGATTTTACAAAATGCACTAGTTGAATTTAGCAAGAAAGGAGAAGGTAATGAATAAATTGCGTAAAAAAATATACAAAAAATTATTTTCCATTTCGTTTATTTATTTATTTGATATATTGTTTACAATGCTGACTAACTTGTTTCTTCCTTGCAAATTGCACTGAATCGTAGTAGGAAAAGTCAAACGTAAATTTGAGGAAGAAACAGAAGTAGAAGAAGGTAAAGTAAAATGATTTAATATTCCTCATAAAGTTTGATAATGTGAAACAAAATAAATTTATCAAATATTTTCCTTCATAATAGGCCCAATTAACAAATTAATAAAAATAAGCAAAAAAAAACGACCAAGTGCATCAAAATTTGCAGAAAAAGGTAAATGGGAATCCTTGTT